GGTCTTGGGGGCCAGTGTCAGGGGGTGGGCGGGGCCTGTGGGAAGCGGTGCCACGGAAGGAGCTGATTGCTAACAGTGAGGGTTGTTTTTGCTCCGACTGTGCGCAGGGCTTGGACAGTACCTGGGCGATGACCGCTCCTCTGGGCTGCTCAGCACTTTGCTGCCCCGTGACCCCTTGTGCACTGTCTTATTCAGTCACTCAGGAACACGGAATAAGCGCCTCCTTGTCAGGCGGGATTCCAGGATCAATTAGAACCGGCCTCTGTCCTCCAGGACCTCAGTCCTTTAATGAGACGATTGCAGCATAGAATAATAAGTGTCATGGAAGAACAGCTCTTAGCAAGGAGATTTGTGGGTATAGAGGGTGAGGGGAAAGAAGAGCTCAGGAGGAGATAGTGTCTGAGCAAGCTTGTGAAACAAGCAAGAGTAAGATAAACTAAGAGATACGGACGTTTCAGATAAGGTCTGCAGTCTAGCTGAAAGTATCCTATCAATGTTAATTCCTTGGTTTTGAACATTGTACTCTGGTTATATAAGATGATAACAGAAATGTGGGTAAGAAGTTTACAAGAACTTTCTGTACTGTTTTTATAACTTTTCTGTAAGCCTAAAAATAGTTGAAAATAAAAAAGTATTTTAAAAGAAGTGGAAGTTTCAGTTCAAAGGCACATACCAAGGCAAGGAAGAATGAACAACATGTCAGGGGTTGAAAGGCCAGAGACAGGGATTATAAGAAAAAAAGCAGATGGGAGGAGATAATTAGCTCAGATATAGACCCCATGGGCTGCAGGTGACTATGGGCTGGGCTATCCAAGCAGGGACATACAGTGAGCACTTACTGCCATTGATAGGTCTGCAGCTAAGAGAGAGTTCTTAGAAGAGTTCCCATTAGATGGGAAAGGAAATCCTGTGGCGGACCGAGATTGGCCAGAGGGAGTTGGGAAGAGGAAAGGCCTCAGACAGAGTCCTAAAACACCAACACAAGGAATGTGCAGAGAGGCTTATGGGAGAGACTAAGGAGAAATAAACAAAACCAAGAACTATAGTGTCACATAAGCCAGGGGAAAAGAGGATTTCAAAAAACTAAAATGAAGTGTTGAAGGCTGTAGATGTTTCTTCCAAGAAACACTCCGAAACCACAAATCTGATCACATCACTTAACTGTGCAGAACACTTCACAGGTTCTCCATTGCCTTTAGATAAAACCCTAGGTTTATAATATGGCTGACAAAGCTCTCCCTGAGCCATCTTCTCACCATTCAGCCTCATCTCACACTACTAGCCCCTCAAGTTCTCTTCAAAAAACAATTGCTGTTCCCCCAGTCACCCATGCTTTTTGAAGTCTCTATACCTTTTCACACACTATGCACGTTGCCTCTAATGCTCTTCACTCTCCCACCTCTATACCTAACTTCTGTTCATTCTGCAACACCCAGGCTCAGTTGGGAACCTTCCCATGTACTGCAATAGCCCTCTGAGTACCCACCTAATAGAGTACCCATCACATAGATAGATGTGTAATTACCTATCTATCCAACTATTTCCTCTACCAGACCATGAGTTTCTAGAGGCCAAGGATTGCTTCTCAATTGTCATTTATCCCCAATACTTAGTATAATGTTGGTCTGGCACATAGCAGGTATTCTCATTATGACTTGTTGACTGAAAAATATGATAGTAGTAAAAGGGACATCAATTTGAAGAAGAAGTTTTAGGTTTTTTGTTTGCTTTGGTATGCGAGATTTTAAGCATATTCACAGAAAGGAAAACGAAAGAGTTGGAGCATCTAGAAAACACATCTAATAGCTGGTGGGATCAGGTACTAGGGGTAACAAGAAAGGAATGGTGCAGCCAAAACCGGTTTGGCTCAGTGGCTGGAGCGTCGGCCTGCGGACTGAAGGGTCCCAGGTTTGATTCCGGTCAGGGAATTAGGAAGGTGGAAGTGGTTGTAAGGCAGGGTATGGATAATGAAAACAGAGCTCACATCTGATATGATAGGTGTTTGTCCCTGGAGACTAGTTCAGCACCTAACACAAATGATCCACTGGATAAATAATTGTTAAATGAATAAATAATGAGGCCCAAGCAGGGAACTTGCACAAAGTAAAGCAGAATGAAAGTCTGAGCCTACACTGTCACCAAAGTCTTCTGTCTAGAAGGCCCCTCCCTGTGTAGTCCAGCTTGGCGGTGGTGGTGGCAGGGAGGAGGGTAGAGAGAAGGCCCAGCCTTGTCTCTGAGGCATGCACCCCCACCTTCTCCAGGGACCTCATTAGAGATGTTTAGCTGGGCAGGTGTAAACCCAGGACCTGGGAGACAGGGCGGGACGCTGGAGCCACACTGCCTCTACCCCTCCAGTAGAGCTGGCCCTGGTTGTGTTGCTAAGAGCTTCAGAAACCAAAGACAGAGAAGTCACAGCTGGAGACTAAGGGCTGCCTCTTCCAGGCAGGCAGGCAGGCAGGCACTAGTCTGCACCTCCGGAAGCAGCCTGCCAGCAGAGGCCCTGGACACCTCACACCCAGGCACCAGGCCACAGAACCATGAGCCAGGACAGCAAAGTGAAGACGACAGAGTCCAGCCCCCCTGTCCAGTCCAAGGCCAGGTGAGAGATCCTGGTCCCTTGTGTCAGATCTGTCTGCCTCACTAGATGGAGCCTGATTCTTCTTGGTGCCCCTAGTCACAAGCTCAACATTGAATGATGAATACATGTAACATGGCTTCCCCTCTTGCCACAGGAAGACGCTGCCTGTCCTGGACCCATCTGGGGATTACTACTACTGGTGGCTGAACACGATGGTCTTCCCTGTAATGTATAACCTCATCATCATCGTGTGCAGGTTTGGCAGGACTTTAAGGGAGGGGCTTTAGCACAGACAGGGGCTAAAGGGCAAGGCTCAGGAGAGGAGCGGGGTCTTGGGGGGGAGGAGCCTAAGCAAGGGCCCAGTCAGTGGCCTGGGGAGACCACCTCAGGCACAAAGGGTGTCCTTAAACCAATCCCTTCTATCTCCCCCACACAGAGCCTGCTTTCCCGACTTGCAGCATGGTTACCTGGCGGCCTGGTTCGTGCTGGACTACACGAGTGACCTGCTGTACCTACTGGACATCGTGGTGCGCTTCCACACTGGTCAGTGAGTCCCAGGACTGACCCTTTGTTTCAAGTTCCCTTCCCAAAAAGAGCTCCTTAGTATCGAGAAAGTGACTCCCCTCCCCGCCCCCACCCCAAAGCACTTTCGCATGCCCCCATGCTTGAGGACATCCTTATGCATAACCGGAAACCCTGCAGCAGGGTTATACCTGCCCTCCCGCCCTGTGACTCTCTCCCTGTCCTACCCTGGCCTGCCCAAGCTCATCCTTATCACTGGAGCAGGCAGGTGCCCGACTGGGCCCTATACCTGACCCCATCCTACCCCTGACCCCGTCCCCTCCCTCTGTTCCTCCCAACAGGATTCTTGGAACAAGGCATCCTGGTAGTGGACAAAGGTAGGATCTCGAGTCGCTATGTTCGCACCTGGAGCTTTTGCTTGGACCTGGCTTCCCTGGTGCCCACAGACGTTTTGTGCCCCGCCTCTTTGAAGCCTTTGACCGCACGGAGACCCGCACGGCTTACCCCAATGCCTTTCGCATCGCCAAGCTGATGCTCTACATTTTCGTGGTCATCCACTGGAACAGCTGCCTCTACTTTGCCTTGTCCCAATACCTGGGCTTCGGGCGTGACGCCTGGGTGTACCCAGACCCCGCGCAACCCGGCTTTGAGCGCCTGCGGCGCCAGTACCTCTACAGCTTTTACTTCTCCACGCTGATCCTGACCACCGTCGGCGACATCCCGCTGCCGGAGCGGGAGGAGGAGTTCCTCTTCATGGTCGGCGACTTCCTGCTGGCCGTCATGGGTTTCGCCACCATCATGGGTAGCATGAGCTCCGTCATCTACAACATGAACACTGCCGACGCCGCTTTCTACCCTGACCACGCGCTGGTGAAGAAGTACATGAAGCTGCAGCATGTCAACCGCCGGCTGGAGCGGCGCGTGATTGACTGGTGAGGATGCTGGGAAGCCAGGGCCCCGGGTGGGGTCCCGGATAGACTCGGAGACAGGTGTCTGGGTTCTTATTGCCCGGTGCGCCAGGAAGGCAGCCAGGACATGGCACTCCTCGGGGTGGGGGGAGCTCACTGGGTGGGGCTTGGAAAAGGATATCATCCACTAACTGTATCTGGGCTTAGGGGAAGGGACTGGGTAAGACACTGATAAGGAGAGAGACCTTGCACTAGGTGATGGGAACTGCCACTGCCCGGTAGAGCCCCAGAAGGCCTAAGGGAGAAGGGAAATACCCGCCCCCCCAAGGGCATGGCCAAAAGCAAGATGGTTGACTATGTCTCAGTAGTCCACACTGTCGGCTGAACGAGAAGAAGTGTCACCAACTAGAGCAGACGCCTCTAGAGAAGATGGGGCTTGGTGATTGAAGTGGATTTCAGTTGGCTGGTACAAGACATCACTGGTGGATGGGGTAGAAACTGACAGGAGGTCAAGGGTGTCTTATTCATTGTCTTCTGGTGGAGGCTTCGAGGCCCTGGGTGAGGGGGAAAAAGTAAAAACATACCTGTGACCAACAAAGGAGATTGTGGACTGAAGCTATTTCATCAGCCAACCCACAAGTATTCCCATAACCCCTGTGAAACCTCAGAGTGGTTGGGCTCTTGGCTAAAGTTGAGATGAGCCCTGAAGGGAGGAGGCAGGGAGGCAGGGAGGCACATAGGATGCTGGTGAGACACTGGTGCTGCCCTTGTCTCCAGGTACCAGCACCTGCAGATCAACAAGAAGATGACCAACGAGGTGGCCATCTTACAGCACTTGCCAGAGCGGTTGCGGGCAGAAGTGGCTGTGTCTGTGCACCTGTCTACTCTGAGCCGGGTGCAGATCTTCCAGAACTGCGAGGCCAGCCTGCTGGAGGAGCTGGTCCTGAAGCTGCAGCCCCAGACCTACTCACCAGGCGAATATGTCTGCCGCAAGGGGGACATTGGCCGAGAGATGTACATCATCCGCGAGGGTCAGCTGGCCGTGGTGGCAGATGATGGTGTCACACAGTATGCCGTGCTTGGTGCAGGGCTCTACTTTGGGGAGATCAGCATCATCAACATCAAAGGTGGGCACCCCAGCATTGTTCCCAGATAGGGCTGGGGCGGGGCGGGGTGGGGGAGAGGAGTGGGGGGAGAGACAGCAGAAACCTGTCCTTAGACCAGATGATACTTCAGAGTCTACACAGATTAAGGACACGTGGCCTTTACCTGAATCACTAGAGGGCTCAGGGCAGAAGCAGGGCATAGAAACAGGACATGAGAAGCTGAACCAAGATCAGTGAGAAGGGTGAGTTCTTGGAAGAGAGAGTAGACCTGCTCTGTGGATGTTGACCTGAGGCACCAATGAGCCAGTGGAAAGTGGCAGAGATGATGATGACAATACTTGTTGCGTGCATACTACATGCCCTTTTTAAAGTGCTTCTCATATACCAACTCTTTAAATTCTCACAGCAACTCTTAAAGTAGGTACCGTTACCTGCATTTTAAAAGTAAGGAGCCCTAGCCACTGTGGGGTTGTCCCATGCACCAAAAGGTTGCTGGTTCGATTCCAAGTCAGGGCACACTCCTGGGTTGCAGGGTCAGTCCCGGTAGGGGGCATGCAGAAGGCAGCTAATCGATGTTTCACTCTCGAGTCGGTGTTTCTCTTCAACTCTCCCTTTCCCTTCTTCTCTCTCTAAAAATTAATTTAAAAATTTAAAAATAAAAGTAAGGAAATTAGAGCACAGGGAGGTTTAGGAACTTGTCCAAGGTCACACAGGTAATAAGTACACACACTTGGGTACAGTACAAGGAACAACTTTCTCACAGCCAAATGGAAATGGAGATATTCCAACTTATTGAACTCCACTCAGGGCCAAATGCTGTCTGTACACTGGCTCGTGTATTCCTCGTATCACTCTGTGCAGTAGGAGTTGCCTAATCACAGGTAGACACTGAGGTCATGGGAGCTGGGACAGCCTGGAAAGGGGGTGAGCACAGTCACTGACTGAGGCTAGATGCTGTCTCCCTGAGGGACCCCATTTCTCAGTTGTCCTGAAGGCCTCACATCTGTCCTCCAAGGGCCCCCTCAAGCTCCACATCCTGTATGCAGTCGGCTGCTATCTACCTGACTTTGGACAAGTCACTTCCCTTTTTTAGGCCTCACCTGTCCAATAGGGTGACATTAAAAACCCAAAAAGTTATTTGTGAGGATTAAAGGAATAGTGCCCGGCATGTAGCAAGTGCTCAACAAGCAGTAGCCCCCTTGCCTCTTCTCGGGTCCTTCTAGCTCTGAGAGTTTGCAGCATTTGGCCTACCCTTTCTTCCCACCCACCCTTCCCCGACAATGTCTTCCTAAAATGTTAATGATGCCATACAGCTCCCCTGCTTAGAATATTTCAGGGCTTTCCTACTGCTCTCAGCATAGGGTCTGAACTGCTCGCCTGGCTGTCCCCTCCTCTTTCCACTGTCCTCACACCCTGCATCTCAGCCACTCCGGACTGCTTCCTGTTTTCTACTCCAACCTAATTCTTTCCTACCTCCATGCCTCTGCTCATGTTCTCCCCTCTGTGCAGCTGCTCCAACCCCCCTTTCCCGAGCTGCAGCCCCCTCAGTCAGGCATCAATTACTGCAGACTTCCCTAAATTCTCCACCTTATAGTTAGGGACTCTTTGTCTTCCCACAGAACCACATGCATATGTCCACACTGCACAGCAATACTGTTATGTAACTATCCAATTAAATGTTTGTCTCCTCTGGACTGTGACTTCTTGGAGGCAGGTCACTAATTCCCTCCCCAGCACAGGGCCTGGTCCCAGTAAATTACTGAAGCAGAAAGAGAGGCTCAGAAGCACAAATATGGGGGGAGGGGTCCCTTGTTCAGGAGCGAAATGCCCCCTCACACCCACCCTGACTACTTTTCCTCCCATCTGTCTGCCCGTGTGCCACAGGGAATATGTCTGGGAACCGCCGCACAGCCAACATCAAGAGTCTAGGTTATTCGGACCTGTTTTGCCTGAGCAAGGAAGACCTGCGGGAAGTGCTGAGCGAGTATCCACAGGCCCAGGCCGTCATGGAGGAAAAGGGCCGTGAGATCCTTCTCAAAATGAACAAGTTGGACATAAATGCTGAGGCAGCTGAGATTGCCCTACAGGAGGCCACAGAGTCCCGGCTACGAGGCCTCGACCAACAACTGGATGATCTACAGACCAAGTTTGCCCGTCTCCTGGCTGAGCTGGAGTCCAGTGCACTCAAAATTGCTTATCGCATTGAACGGCTGGAGTGGCAGACTCGAGAGTGGCCAATGCCTGAGGAATTGGCTGAGGCCGATGACGAAGGCGAGTCTGGGGAGGGACCTTCTAAGGATGAGGAGGGCAGGGCTAGCCAGGAAGGACCCCCAGGCTCAGAGTGACCCCATTCCTATCCCTAGGAATCCAGAATTATAGGACAGCCTCCCTGCAGAAACTCTGCCTTCCTGTCTGCTAGGTCCCAGAGATGGGAGTGAATTGGGTCTGCAGATGCCCACCTGGAGATGTAGGAGTGTAGCACACATTCATTCCCCACTCACAAATGTGCGCACGCACGTGCGCGCGTGCACACACACATACACACACACTACAATTGCACATACTAGTACAAACATTGGCCCCAAGAATGTTCATTCTATATAAAATGCTCTAGAATTTCCATTCTCAGAGCACACATGCTTGCTCACAAACATAGATATGCCTTATACCTACATGATACATGCACATTCAGTCATGCACCTCATAAACACAGATATACTGAGAGTCATACACCAGTAGACACACAGATGCCCTCCACACACTTGTAAATACACAAAAGCACACCCAGAGCCCTCTTGTTCCAAGATATCCTTTAAATGCCCCCCGTCACAGGTGTACCTTGCAAGTTGCACTTCAATAAAGTACGTGCCTTCTCACTAAACACTTACTGAGCTGATGGGGAAAGGCTATTGGCTTTAGTAGTTGGCCAGATGACCTCTCTCTGAATTCTGAGTCACAGCAGTGAGGGGCATGAGCTGTGTTATAGCTGGTGGGTTGGATTCAAAGGGGCTGGAATACCTGATGAATTGAGGTCTTTGATCTCCTTGAAATAATAGCCCCTAAATCTTTCTCATTTTCCAAATCTTACTTCCCCTCCTATGACAAAGCTGAGAAAGAACTCTGCTTTTTAGGGCTCATGTGATAGTTCCACCCAGATAATCCAGGATAATATCCTGATTTTAAAGCCAGGAGTTAACCTTAATTATATCTGCAAAGTCCCTTTTACCCTAATCACAAGAATAACACCAGAGGGCAAAGGTAATAGGAGCCAAAATTCTACCTATCACAGGGTTTCTGGGAAGGAAAGCAACCTGGACCCCACTTCCACAGGGGTCCCAGGATAAGGAACACTGAGAATTGTGTCTTTGGAAACTGGAGAGAGATCACTATGGCCTAGATGGCACTGGGGCCTCAAAGCAGCACCCACTAGGTGAAGAGCCAGCTTGAATAAGGTGCTTAGCAGCATATCCCCCATGTTCTAAAGGCCAGAACCCTCCAAATATTCTATCCAATATAAAATCCCCAGACACTTTTGCAAGACACTAAGTTGGAGAGGAAAGAGAATGGAAAGAAAGCCCCAAAACACAACTGAGATTAAATCTTCCATAAATTGGTGTTTAAAAGCTTAGATGAGAATTGTTGATTTAGAGCAGTGGTTCTCAACCTTGGCTGCACATTAGAATCACCTGGGAATCTTTTTAAAATCCTGATTTCTGGGCCTCATCCTCCGGAAATTCTGTTTCTTTGTTATGGGGTGGGGCCACAACATTAGTAACAAAGAAACGGAATTTCCGGAGGATGAGGCCCAGAAATCAGGATTTTAAAAAGATTCCCAGGTGATTCTAATGTGCAGCCGAGGTTGAGAACCACTGATTTAGAGAATCAAGAAAATGACCAAAATTTTACACAATTATGAAATCACTCATAACTGCTATATGTACATACATTTCATTTGATTCTTAGAAAAATATTAGGAAATTTAAGTTATTATTATGCTTCTTTTTCTAGATCTGAAAACTGAAACCCATAGAGCAACTAAAAATATTAGATCCAATTTATTGTCAAGCCATCTTATGCAGGGTCCTGGGCTAAGTGCATTGTCTCATTTAATCCTTACAACTATATGAGAAAGATGCTATTATTACTCCATTTTGAAATGAAACCGCAGCTCTGGGAGATTAAATACCTTGTCCAATATCACAGGAAACTTAAATGCCATGAAATGAAACCTAGGTCTGCCTTACTGTTTCTTTTAGGTAGATAAGGAAAGGATCACCTCAGCTTGAGGCCAGGCAAGCTGCTTTTTTCTTTTTTTTTTTTTGGAATGACTGTTAGAGACACTAACTGGTGGTAACCAGGGAGAAGGAGCCCGTCAAGCAGAGGAAAGCTTGTGAATCACCAGCTAGCCTGCCCGATGTGCTGAAGTGTGATCTCGGGGATAGAGCCAAAGACAAGGGACCACCCACTGCTCTAGAGAAAAGCTGCCAATTCCTGCTCTCCTGACTGCAGGCATGCAGCCGTGGGAGGAGGGCAGGAGTCAGTGCTAGAATCCTACAGAGGTGTCCGGAGCTGTCCAAGGAGCCTCCGACTGGGAGCCCAGCTGCTTTGGGTTTAGCTCTTCTCCCTCCTACAGGACCTGAATCTCACCCACTTTCCTCCTTCGGTCACAACCCTCAGGATACCTCAGCCTCGCTAAGAATTGGCTGTGCACTCCTCTTCAGTGTTCCTAATGAGCTACTCCCCCACAGATGCTTTTTCAGCCCTCCCCCCTTCATCCTTTTCTTTCTGAGGGTTTGGCTGCAAGCCTCCCCCAAGACAGATGAAAATAAAGTATCAAGGTTAGAAGAAATCAGATTCATAGGGAGACATGGTGCAAACACTAGGAGCCAGGAGCAGGGGGCAGGGTGGTCAGATTCTAGCTTGGGGCTGAACCTAGGGTTTGGCTTGAGGCTTGGCTCAGAGATGAATAGTCAAGCTGGGGTCAGAGTCATGGCCCAAGTCAGGGCGAACAAATAGGCTGGCCTAAAAGCACAACAGATAGGAAAGAGCTTGGAGCCCATGAGAATCAGCTTTTTGTTTTGAAATATCACTAGCTGGGGGATTCTCGGCCTCCTTCAAAGTCTTTCAGTGTTGTTGAAAGAAATGCTTGGAGAATTAAAATGTAAATAAGATAATGAATGTAGATTGCTTATAAGGCTTGGTCGATAGCGATTGCTTAATAATGAACAGTAGCTGTAACCATTATTCCTATCCCTCTAGCAGCAGTTGTGCCTTTGAGGGCCTTGGGGCACAGGTTGCCTGGCCCTGCTAGACTCCGGGCCTCTGGGCTGTTCTGGCAACACCAGACATGACCAGCAGAGGGCGCAAGGGTTCCCCTTCTCTTCTTCCTCAGGATAATTCCCAGGCCTCAGGAGTGCATTCCCTTATAAAGTTGGAATAATTACCCTAGGAAAAATGAAACCTTAAGGACCGAGATTGGGGTCTGGAACCTTAAGGACAAGATCTACTGTTTATGAAACCCTTGTTCAAGATTTTTTTTTTTTTTAAATCCTCACCCGAGGATATTTTTCCATTGATTTTTAAAGAAAATGGAGGCGGGGGGGGGGGGGAGGGATTTTTAAAGAAAGTTAAAATTCAGCAATGGAACTGAGAGACATTACAGAGGAAGTTGTGGCAAATCGGAGCCTGAGGCAGTCCTGTTGGGGGCGGCACCATCTAATGGCCTGGGGCACTCAGGACTTGAAAATCTTAGCGCTTTTCACCCTGAAGGCATGGGGCCTCTCTGCCTGGCATTGTCTTCCCAGTTTCAATACCTTGGCCTCTTGTCCTTAGCCTTGCTGTTCACCAAAGGGTCCCATGGAGCCCCACCGGCTAATGGCAGGGATGTGTTCATGGAAGTCCCCTCTGGGTGACCTCCTGAGTAAGCCTTCGAATGGCTTTAGTAGCCCTCAAAGGAGGCCCTGAGCTGGTAGATCCAGGCCCCTCTTGGCCGACCTGTGAGAGTTGATGTCTGAAACCAAGTGTACCCATCCAATTGGAGCCAGTTCCGGTGTTACCGCTGCTTTCCCCAGCACAAGCCCCATGCTCCAGAAAGCCTGTTCTATCATCCAGTTTTTTCCCTTTGCCCAACATCTCTGCTTGCTCTGGCTCCAGCCGGTCTGTCTTCTCAGCCTGCTCCTTCTTTGTTTAATTATCCCAAGAGAAGGGCCTCCTATGTGGGCAGCGAGCGTGTGGGCAAGAGCTCAGCACAGAAGAATTGTCTGCACATCACAGAAATGCAGAGAAAAGAAGACCTTGAACGATGTGGCGAGAAGGCAGCTTAGTCAGCCACAGAGAGAAGGGCTGAGCCAGTAGGGGCGTGGGCACCCCAAGGACTAAACTGTGGCTTGGTTTCTCTCGGAGATTGGATCCCAGCTGTGTGTGTGTGTGTGTGTGTGTGTGTCAGAGCCAGGAGAGCTGGAAGCAGAGCCTATTCTGTGACCTTCACACCACTGTGTGTATTAGCACTAGGTTTCTTCAGTAAAATGCTATTTTGTGGACCTGCAAGCTACCGAGAATAAGCAGGTTTATTCTGGCTGTGCATTGGGCACTCTGTTCTCGTCTCTTTAGTTGTTTCTGCTCAACACTTACTGGTGTTGTTTAAATGTTCCCCTCTTATCTCAATTGTGATATAGAATATTGAAAGAAGGACTGTGTGCCCACACTTGGGCAGTAGGGCAGTAGCTAGGTTATTGAACTTCCGCAAGGAAAAGGTAAATTGCTCTACCTACAAGAGTCAAGCTAGGTGGGCCGGCACACCCCTCCAAAATGGGAGAGAGAGAGAGAGAGAGAGAGAGAGAGAGAGAGAGAACAAAACGACAAAAAAATAAACTGACAACCTTGGCAGGTCAAGGCTTGAGTCAGAAAGGCGATGTCCTTCAGGACTGAGCCTGGCCCTGCTTCAGGACACCTTGAACTTTCTTCCTTGATCTTAGGTTTCCGACTTGTTCTGGGACAAGGGTCCCGGTCTCTCTCCTCTGGCTGCCCACACTGACTTTGCAGTTCCCTCCTTACTCTGATCTGAAGTCCCCATTTCCTGGCCCGGAGCAATCCCTCACTCTGTGAATGCTGGCTTAATCCTTGGCATAGGGGGGATTCCTGATTTTGAGAAATGAGTTCCGACCCTCTCAGCACTCCATTTTCATTCCCTCCTCTGCTAATGGTCTGTCCCCTTTCTCCACTGTACCTGTTACTTGGAGGTTTTTCCCCTCTTCACAAACCATCTTCTTGAAACCATCTACGTCCTCCATCTCCTGGCCCTCACCTCCCATCACCCAACTGCCTTTAGTTAGAGGGGTGAATGTAAATGAGGTACAAGGGTGATGAGCAATATGGAATGCACTATGAAACTATAAACAATTCAAGGTTCCTTGAGCATAAAGAAAAGGTAGAGAATAAGTAATGAGAGTAGTATGGAGAGTGGGTTGAGAATCTGTAGGAGAAAAGACCAGAAGCAGATCCTTGAAATACAAACAGCAAAAGGGCAAGTATAAGACTTATAATTGTAAGAATTACCATCATGAGAGGCACAAGTGTTACAGACGCACACAGGAGAGGCACCTAACCCAGACTTGTGTGGTTAAGAAAAGCTTTTCAGTCCTGGCCAGTGTGGTTTAGTTGGTTGGAGTATCATCCCATGTACTGAAAGGTCTTGGTTGCAGGTTTGATCCTGGTCGGGGCACTTCAGGAGGCCACCCATCGAAGTTTCTCTCTCTCTCTCTCTCTCTCTCTCTCTCTCTCTCTCTCTCAAAATCCCTGGGAGAGGATTTTTTTTAAAAGCTTTTCAGAAGAGTTTATTCATCCTCTGAAACTTCTTTTCCAATATCAGCAAACTCTTATGTCTTCAACTTCTTTAAACACTCTCCCAACTCCTGTGTTAACTAAAACCAGCAATCCTATAAGGATGGTGCAGAAAGGGGTGGCCTCTGATCCCCTCACAGCCCATGTACATAGCTTTGGCGCCCTCTGCACTCACTGATGCTGCTTCTTCACTCCCAATAGATCCCTGCTCCTTGACATTCAGATGTCCACTCTTCCCTTTCCCGATGCTGGTAACTCCAACTCTTCTGAAGCCTACTTATTACTCGCATTAGACTTTGTCAACTACCTCATAGTTGTCTTCTCCATGTTCAGCTGAGATTTCATGGCCCATTATTTCATCCTTGTGCCTTTGTTTTCCCATCCCATCCACCCAGTGAAATCTCAACTTTGCATGAATTGAACCATCAGCATTCTCCATGCTTGCATCCAACCATCTGAGCTGTGTTGGAGAAACTGCTACCACTAGAAATTCTTGGTTTATAACTCTTCAGTGGGTCCTTAACACTTTCCTAATTGCATACATATCTTACTACAGTCCTCTGGTCTCCACTTTCCCTTTCCCATTATATACAGTGTTTCAAACTATCTTGACTACTAAAATTTCAATACTATCCACTTATACACACAGACACACACCCAACTCAGTGTAACCAGATCTCCAACTTCATAGAGAAAATAGGAGCTATCAGACTGCAGCTCTGTCTCACCAAATCTACACACTTACTGTCTTAATGAAGATACAGATCAAGTTGCTATGACACAAGAGAGGAAAAAAATTGTGTGGCCTTGCCTTGGCCTGTTTGGCTCAGTGGATAGCGCATCGGCCTGTGGACTGAAGGGTCCCTGGTTTGATTCCAGTCAGGGGCATGTACCTTGGTTGCGGGCACATCCCCAGTTGGGGGTGTGCAGGGGGTGACTGATCGATGTTTCTCTCTCATCGATGTTTCTAGCTCTCTACCCTTCTCCTTTCCTCTCTGTAAAAAATCAATAAAATTGACCCAACCATAAAAAAATTTAAAAAAAAAATTGTGTGGCCTTAAAATTGTAGTTTCTTTTTCATACTGAAGAATCAGGAGTGATTAAATGTCTTGAGAGTATAGGAAACCGAGACTCCTTCCATCTTTTCACTCTGCCACCCTTAGTGTGTTACCCTCACTGCATGACTAAAGAAAAGTGGCTGAATGTCACATCCTCATTCAACCTGCAGAAAAGGACAATTAGGAAGAAGGAGTCTCCTCTCCTTTAAAAACTTGATCTAGGAGCTGAATGTATCACTTCCATACACAGCCGCTGTTCAGGACACAGCCATAAAGCCACATTTAGCTGCCAAAAATCTAGAAAATATAGTTATAATCTGGTTGGCCATGACTTATTTTCACCTATAATTATTCTCTTCTATTAACTTCTTTTTACAACTGAATCTCTACTCCTATCAAAATCTAGAACCCTCCATATGTGCTCTGGATGCCATACCTCCCTGCCTTCTCGGGAAATTTGCAATGTAGCTGAATACGTGAAGGTTAGCCTACTTCTCCTATTTCCACTCCTCTCTCCCCTACATTTCCTTTGCTTCCCAGCACCCACACCCACAGGCACCCAATGGGAAAAGTTC